TACTTGGGAGGCGGAGGCAGGAGACTCGCTTAAGCCCAGAAGTTGGAGGTTGCTATGAGCTGTGATGCCACAGCACTCTACCCAGGGGGACAGCTTGAGGCTCTGTCTCAAAAATAAATAAATAAATAAATAAATAAATAAAAAAGAATGGCTAATGAAGGGCGGTGCCTGTGGCTCAAAGAAGTAGGGTGCCAGTCCCATATGCCAGAGGTGGCAAACCCAGCCCTGGCCAAAAAAAGAATGGCCAATGAAGTTTCTTTGGACAGTGAAGCAAAAACTTGATAGTGAAAATAATTAACTTCTCAGAAGTAGCCTGAACTAAAACTCAAGATTGACTGGCACCAGAATTTTGTTTGTTGATTTTATTTTATTTTTTTGAGACAAAGTCTCACTATGTCACCCTCGGTAGAATGCCATCGCGTCACAGCTCACAGCAACCTCAAACTCTTGGGCTCGAGTGATTCTCTTGCCTCAGCCTCCCAAGTAGGTGGGACTACAGGCGCCCACCACAACACCCAGCTATTTGTTGTTGTTATTGCAGTTGTAATTGTTGTTGGGTAGCCCGGGCTGGGTTAGAACCTGCCAGCCTCCGTGTTTTGTGGCCAGTACCCTAACCACTGAGCTATGGGCGCTGAGCCTATTTGTTAATTTTATTTTATTTTATTTTATTTTATTTTTTTTTTGAGATGGAGCCTCAAGCTGTCCCCCTGGGTAGAGTGCCATGGCATCACACTCACAGCAACCTCCAACTCTGGGCTCAAGCGAGTCTCCTGCCTCAGCCTCCCAAGTAGCTGGGACCACAGGTGCCCGCCACAACGCCCAGCCATTTTTTTGGTTGCAGCCGTCATTGTTGTTTGGCGGGCCCGGGCTGGGGATTCAAACCCGCCACCTTAGGTGTATGTGGCTGGCGCCTTAGCCGCTTGAGCCACAGGCGCCGAGCCCTATTTGTTAATTTTAAATAAACTTTATTTTAAAGCCAACTTTAAGAAAAGTTTATCATAATCACACAAAATTCTAGTATGTCCCATGTCAATCCAAGTCTGTTAAACATCAGAAAGAAATGTGGAAGTGCTATTTAACTTCAAAACATCAATACTCTTTAAATAGTTTGAATATCCAGAGACATCTGGCAAAAAATATACAGACACTAATCAAGACTGAAACATGCTACTACAATTATGGAAATGGTTCATTCTTTAGCCTTATTCATCCTAGTTCTCTTCCTCCTTGGTGTGTCTTTTGTTTCTTCACACCAACGACATCTGGCATAGCTTAGAAAGACCCTAACTACAAATTTCAAGGGCCTCCTTATTAACCACAAAACAGATGGTTCACCATGAGTGTGTGTGCCCTTTCACAATGTTTCTTTAAAGGTCTAACAATTACATAGTCACATACAGGATAGTCTTTCTTAGTGTATTCTCTTTAAATATTGTTACTACATTTACTTGTCTATATCCCTGGCCCAAAATTACTCATATGAGAACACAAAAACAGTAAAATCTATAATCTAGAAATATTTTACAATTATCCTAGTTTATCTCAGTCCACTCTAACCCGCATTCTGTTTTTTTCTCAGGATTTCTTATCTTTGATTATGAAAGAGAACACACACAATATGTGTAGCAAAATAAGCTTTTAAAACTAATGCCAATTTTAAGAAAGTATCTCTAATATAGCAAAACTTCTATAATTTATAACACTAATTTTAACTATTCATTTGAAATTAAGTTCCCAATCACTATTCTGTAATATTTATTTTTACCAGATTTTAACTACTTTTAAGCAAAAAAATTCAGTTCATCCCCTTTGAGTATTTTCTATAAATCTCATCCCCACACTTTTATTATTATACATTGCCAAATTTACAAATACCTTCAATAAAAACCACCCAGACAATTAAAGTACTTAACCTTTCCAATTACATTTTCAATTCTAAAGAGATTACTTTGTTTACTTACAAATAAATGATGATACATAGTTTGAAAACTAAAGGCTCACACTCAAAGAAATCAATCAGTTGGCCCATCTTTCCCTCATTTGAAACAAACTTGCTGTTTCTGGCGGTGAAAAGGGCTGAGAAGTTGTCTCCTGTCACGTGTCTATTAATCAAAATACTGGCAAGGAGACAGAATTTTCAGGGAGTTTTTCTGTTATAGTTTGATGTGTTAGCAGATTATGAACAAGAAAAAAAAAGGACTAGTAAAAAGCAATTACACTTTTTGAATGAAACCTTACATTTGAATATATAAAATATCTGAGGTTTTGACTGACAATAACATTATAATTTATGCTAACTTTTTGTTTTCTATAATTAAGAAGAATTTGTGTTTAGTGTATAAACATTAAATCTATCACTTATTTCTCAAAATATTAAATCTCCTGTTCAAGAAATAAGTTATGAATACCTGGAACTATATTTCAAATTATTTTAAAGTAAAATATGTAAAACTACTTTAAGTTCAAGAACTAGAAAAAGGTCTTTTTGAAAACCAAAGTGGATTAAAAATTAGAAAAAAATACATCTATCCTTTAATTTAGGACAGGAAAGTCTGTCCTTTAAATCTGAATTTGCGGGGGGAGGGAGAGGGATTCGAGGGTTCACTTCTGTGGTTCATCTTGTACAAGTGAATCTTTCTATGAGTAGAATATGAATGTTTTGACATAATAACTAAGAAAGTTACATGAAGGCTATGTTAACCAGTTTGATGGAAGTGT